TTCAGCGCGGTACTTCTTCTTGACATTTTTAACTAGCCCACTTTTGCAGTCTCGTCGTGAAATGTGATTGCAACTCAAGTGCTTAACGACACCCACACACTAACGGAAATAAAAATATATATCCACATATCTGCACAAATACAGTGCGTTGCAGTGTCTCGAAAATTCTTTGCCGGAGGACATTTCCTTAATATATTTTCTATTATTTTCGTAAAACTTTTTTTTTCTAAAAAGATAACAATTAAGTGGAAATCTAAAAAAATGTTTAAAATAATGAAAATAATTATAATAATGGTTAAGATCAGTTCTACAAGTATTAAATAATCTACACACAAAAAATGGATTGGTAAATCTAATCTATCAATTTACTCTCACAAGAACAGAATAGTAGTTTTATTCTAAAAAATTCTATTACTTACTATTTTTAATAGTAGAAGTTTTGTGTGTAGTAGTGAAAGGTACCCAAGCTAAGTCACTGTTCTACCAAGTGCTAAGAATATATTTTTTATGAGCAAGTCTATAACCTTTTGAACTTTTCAAAGGAATACAGCATGATTTAAAACTCATAAAATCATCTCTTATAGCTTCAAACCCCACTGTACGTAGATTTATGTATATCTATGTAGAATGTCTTGTGGCTGACTGACAGTCACGGGTCTATTTCAGTTAATTATCGCACGCCAGCAGCAGGTTAAACTGAAGGGTGGCGAGGAGGGGTGGGCTCCAAGTATAACCATCCCCGCACTTTCCCCTTCATTCCACCCATTATTGACTGACATTTCGCCTCGAATGATCTAATCAAAAACAAGTTGAATTTGAATTGTTGTTGCCGGTATTGTTATTGTTTTTGTTGGCTTGTCACTGGAACAGAACCGCTTTATAAGGTTGAAAGGCAAGGGGAGTGTCTTTCGGGGGATACTGTTATGACAGTCGCCTATATTTAGACTAATGTACACCCAAATCGGATCGTGTGCGCTTCTAGATATTGCATTTTCTGTCTATCTATCTGTCGCCCATGGATAATAAATTTTTATAATATTTTTATTTCGGCTGACATCGAATTGCTTGTCTATATTTAGGTGGGTACTCTAGAGATGTCGTCGATTTAGTAAATTATAGAGAATTAAACGAACTATAAATACATTCTGGACTTTGAGGTGTATCTATTTCTTACTTTATTATTACGTTAGGAAAAAAGGTTATTTATAAATTTAATTTGATTTGCCTTCAGTATATTGCCATTTTATATTAATATGATTTTGTAACGAAAGCAGCCAAACTTTAAATACATTACCTTGATAATATTACGAGCGATAGCACGTTTCTATTTCCTTATATGGAATGCTATTTCCCATAACTTTATTAATTGACCAATAAAAAATGGTATTGATAGCTTGACATTCAGATATCAATATCAAAGCGACAAGAAAAACCCCATGACCAAATAAATATATATATGCATATGATTGTGTTTCGAGTTCCAGCTAAAAGAATTTTCAATTTGCTTTTTGTGAGCTCTTTTTTTAGGTGGCTCTAATCATATCTAGAACATATGACCGAAGTTGAATGACAAGCCTTTGTTTTAGCATGCCACAACAGCAATGAAAAAACAGTTAAATAATCACAACAACAATGGCAAAAAATTCTATTCAATTTTTTTTATCTTGCGACTGCGTTGACAGTTTCTGTTTCTCTATCGCAAATCAGCTGAAAAAAAAGAGCCAAATAAAAATATAACAAAAGTCGGTTGGTTGGCAATTAGAAAAGGCGTGAAATATTCACGAGACAGAAAAGGAATTGCGGTTAGCGATAGAGAGGTAAAATCGCGTGCGGGGTCATCAACTGGCTGAGACCCCAAGGGCAGAATTCGTCTTTAAAGAAAAAACTTTATGCCCGCAACAATAATAAATAACAACAAAAATAAGCCCCCAGGAAAACAAGAAAAAGAGGCAACAAAAATGATAGAGAAACAGAAAAATAGAAGAGATGGAACAAAGACCAGAAGTTTGATTAATGGATATTACGGAGGAAGAGAGGGAGGCAATTTAGAGCGCTCGGCAAAACTTGGTCGAAGGAAAAATTATGAAAAGAAATGGAAAAGTTTCCTCAAAACAAGGAAATTGCTCTGGAGTACTAGGAGGCCAACTGCCAACAGGCTAATTGCCGGACTTGGCCGATAAAATGGCCAACGAGGAGAGAGCTCAGGCAGATAAGAGGTGAAATTAAATCCCCGGGGGGCGAAAGCAACAGGTAAGGGTCAGAGGTCGGATTGGTGAATCGAAGTGGCATAGATTATTTTACTTCAGGGGGAAATATTATGGTAATTCGCTTTATAAATTTGTCAATATAAATCATTTTAATTAATGGCGAAAATAATCATTTTAAAACTTATTTATCTATCTATCGCCAATGGATAAATCATTTTCTGGCTGCAATTAAGCACCTAAACTTGAACATTTTAAAGTTTTTTGTTATGTTGTATTTTAAATTCTAATTCCACCAATAATTATAACAAAAAATTTCAAAACTAATGATTTTTATGATCAAATAGCTTCTGCTTCTTAATTTTAAATAAATGTTTTTGTTTTAAATTATATCTAAAATACATTTCCTTATGTACACATATTTTTATACCCAATTATCTCTCCTTTAATCAAAACAATTAAATCCTCTGCTCAAAAAATAGAAAAAACTGTCAGGGAAAGTATTAAATAGACAGGAGACCAACAAATGTCAAAATAATTCAAATTTAGCTAACCCCAAAAGTCAGAAACTTCACTTTGATCTCACTCTCTCTTTCCGTATTTTTTTTATCTCCCTCTGCTGGCCCGCATAACTTTTGCCATTCACCCACAGAAATAAACAAAATGAGAGGCGAAAAACCCTAAGCAAAACAAAAAGGGTAATAAAATGAAAATACGAGTAACTTTCGAGCTATTAGCTGGCAATTAAAACGGCAAATGAACTTTCAACTCGGCAGACAGGCAGCAAATAGCCAAAAACTAAACCGAGCCAAAGAAAGTAAACAAAGCCGGCGATAAAGTCAAAGCCAAAAACTTCTGGTAGTCGCAACAAAACAACAAAAACCAGCACTGAGACAGCCGCAAATTAGTAAACAAAAGCACAATTGTTTGCTATGTTTAAGGGCGGCGCGGGGGCGGGGGGCGTGGCGGTGGGCGTGGGACTTTGGCACTAGCAAAACCAAAACAACGTTGACACCACACCCACTAGAAAAGTTGTGTCAGTGTTGTTCTTGTTGGTTGTGCAATTTTCGGTCTTCCAAAACTCTGGGATAATAAAAGAACCCAGAAGAGACCGGCAAACAATGCCAAATGAAACTGCTACAAAAGTTTTTTCTCTCATATTATAATAATAAGCCGGACCAGGCGGAAAAACCAGGCCAAAACAAGTCTATTTCGGCCGATGCCTGGCTAATTCGCATCGAAATTCTAGCTGGTTGAATTAGGGGCCACAGATGGGGCGGCCGGTGGAAACGAGGTCAGCGGAGATTCTCGAATTCGATAACAATAATTTGAGGGCCCAGGCCCCAGATACGCTTGGAATCAATTTCAAGTTAAACTTAAACAAAGTTTTACAAGTCAAACTTGGGACTGAGTTATTTCACTTTCTGCGGAACCGTAAATCTGAGACTTTTTATGTACTTTTTAAATCCCCTTGCTAGCCAAAAATGGGATAGAAACATACATTTAAATTTTAAGAATTAAATTTCTTTTTTCAAAGCATAACATAAGTCAGGAATTTATTTTTATTTAATTGTAAGATATACCATTTTGTAAATTGTAATTGAAGAATTTTATTACTAGTGTTTGATTACATTTCATATAAAATATTTATTGAAGTTTAAGAAATTTAGGTAAGATTGAACTTAAAAAGCAGATAACATTATTTTTCTTTTTTTTTTATATGATAACATAATATATACTATTTAGTTTAACAATAAATGTACAGTAAACGCCTAGAAAATTACTCAGTTTTAAACTTCATAACACCTCCCTAAGTATTTTCACATTTCTTATTTGGTGGAAGAATTTCTAAACCACGTTCCTCGTGGCATTATCAAATGTAGGTACTCATGTCGTTCCCAACAAAAGGCTATACTATATTCAGAACCTTATCTAATCAAATTGTTCGGCGGAGTGTTCCGAGAACTGTCCACCTCTGAGTTCCCTTTTCGCCCCTTTTTTCCCGGCTCTACTCGGGTTCTCTCTGCTTCCCTCAAGTAATCATCTCGACAGCAGACACAATGGGATAACAAAAGTTTTGTCTCGTCTCTGTCCAGTTTATTCCCTTTCCTTTTACCTCTCCCCTCTCTTGGCCCCTTTTCCCTGACTTTTCGGACGGGTAATTCACGTGGCACTAATTGAATTAGTTAACTGACTTTTGAGTCAGTTTCGTCTTTATCCCTGTACTTGGAAACGATACCGTTAAGCATGATGAACTTGCAATAGAATGCAAAGTGCGCAATTAACAAGTTGCAGGGGAAAAAAATAAAATATCGGTTTAATACATAAGTAAACCCAGACAAACTCAAGGGCCTGTTGAAAAGTCTGGCGTGTTTTCGGTTTTTGGGATTTTGGATTTCTGTCTCAGCTCAACAGCTGCTGCCTTGCTCACTAATTAAACAGATGTGAGCAAACAAAATAGGAAGGGAGCTGAGGTCGGGACTTCCTCAATGTCAAATTTCAATTTAAGGCATCAAATTTCAAACCAAATACACAGAAAGAAAAAATTAATAATTAGCTCAAAGATAAATACCTATTTTTATTGTGCGTCTAATATAATATATTATACACTTGTTTATTTTTGAAACTATCAAAACAATTACAAATACTGCTATTAAAATGGATAAATAATTACATAATTATGACAAAAGTGATATTACAGAGTAGATTAGTGGATCTTTCAGGCGGAAATTTATCTGATTTTTAGACTACGGCAGTGCGTACACTTTTCAAATAAAACAGTATTGCAGCAGAGCAATGTGGGCCAACTTAATTTCTCTCTTTGGAGCAGTTTTAATTTTTAATTTTGTTTTGAATGTGAGTGATCTTAAGAAATTCCGATTGACACGAGCCTTTAAATTGTATGCAATTTTTCAGGATGCAGTTATGTTCAGGTTTAAAAATTTCGAATGTAAAAGTTACAATCAGTCGTGGTTCGTTTTCCACAATTGTCGTCTTAAGGCAATTAATCGTGAAAGGGTTCTGCTCAATGTAAATGGAACTATTCTTCACCCGGCCCATGATATTCAAGTCCATGCCAAGATCTTTAAGAGGGCCAGCGGCTTCAAGCCTTGGTTAATGGAGTCCAAAATAGACGCCTGCAGGTATATGCGAAAGCACTACGATCCATTCATCAGCATCGTTTACAATATTTTCAAAGAGTTTTCCAACATTAACCACACTTGTCCGTATCTGGTAAGTTAAATGATATAGAAATAATTATAAATACAAATATTATTACCTGCCCTATAGGGTCCACAAATCGTGAAAGATTTTTATCTGAAACCGGAACTGTTAATTCTGCCCTTCCCATCTGGAGAGTACTTGTTGACACTTCAGTGGTATTTCGATAAGAAGCGACAATTTGATACAAACGTCAGTTTTATTTATGAGGAGGATCTGCTTAGAAGAAATTAAAAGAATCTAAAAATATCCTCGAAAATCCATTGGGGTTCTCTAAATGCCAATATCGAGTTTCACTTCCGTCTCATACAGTGAAAGAATAAAAAACTTGAAAATAGAATAAAATTTTTAACTATAATTGTGTTTTAATGATTCAAGAATCTTAAATTAAACATAGTAAGTTAACATTCCATTTTAAAAATAGGAAAACTAAATATTATCCGACCAAGGGGTATATTAATTAATCAAATTCTGATAAAACTGTAATTTTAGGATTCTTTAGAGTTATAAAGTCTTTCTGAGAAATGTATACGATCTCAGCCAGAAAAGTCTTATCCAAAAATTGAGAATGTTAGTGTGAGACGCAGTCCTTGACGATTTAAGCTTTCGAACGCTGCCCCTCGAGCAATAAATTAAAGTCAGCAAGAGCCAGCGCTGATTAGTTAGCTATCGATGTCAGCAGGTAAATAACAAAGTTTAACAAATTACGTCAGGCTCGAATCGAAGCGGCCAATAAAAAAAATTTGCAAATCAATGCAAATGACTGGGCCCACAATGGGTGACGAGGGGGAATTGGGAACCGAGGGACTTTGATAGGTGGCGGCACACAAAACCCAGAGCGGAATTAATTAAGCAAAGTGCGAGGGGGAGGAGAAAGGGGGGAGGGCCCGAGATTAGCAAAAGATGTCAGTGTGTCACAAGGATGCCGATAAACGAGTTTTTCCCTCTTTCGATTTTGAATATTAGACAAATTGAATTAGTTTTTTTTTTGCAACCGAAACAGGAAAAACGGGAAAGGTTAGCCAAATGCTGGTATAGAAGTCGAGATGCTCTGCAATCGAGTATACGACTTAAGTCAGTGATTCAATGATTCCAATGATTCATTTGCATTGATAAACCGGGGTTTAAAATAAGTTATTATATAAATAAATTAATTCGTCATTATGATTCATGGTTTTGATTTAGAGTTAATTTCACAAAAATATTGCAAATAATTTAAATATTATTTATTATTATTATTTTTTGACCAATAGATAAATCTAAAAATTTTTAAATATGTTTGCAATTTTTTTTAGGACAACTAAATATTTTACGACTTAAAATAATTACATTTACAAAAAATTATAACTAAAAACAAATATAAAAGATCTATCTATCTTAAAAGTTATGAAAGGAATTTAATTTAAAACATCAACGATTTTTTTTAAAATTTTTTTTATATAATATGTAGTAAAAATATATTTATACATTTCATCTGAAAACCAAAACTCTGTACAGTCTTTATATAAAATTTGTTAATACACATATCGGTTTACGATAGACCTGTTCTAGTGAAACTTTTCAATTAGTGCATTTCTATTATGATTCACAACTAGTTTACTTATTGATCTAGCTCTTGGATTTTCGATAGACCAGTTCCACACACTTTCCTTCTATTCACAAATTGGCCGACGGCCTGTATCGTCCGTTTAATGAAAGTGCATTCGCAGCAGCAACATGACGGCAGCCACATGCAACACACGGCAGTTGCTGCAACAAGTTGCACTTGCATGTGCCGCCGTGCACTGAGCCATGAAGGTGGGAGCGAGATGGAGCAGGGTGCAAGGGAGATGGCGAGCCAGATGCCGAGGCACACATACAGTATGCTTTAGAATTTTAGTTTAATGATTTGTAACCGGTTTTCGAGGTGGCAACTCCCGTGAGACGGCTGCTGCATTTGCTGCAGGGTTATTTGTGCTGTGCCCCTCTCGCCGCCTCTGTTTAATTACACTTCTTCCTACGAACAGCTAAAAAATAATAACAATAGCGGAAGTTATACAAAAGCCGCAGAACCGGCCGCACAACAACAGAAAAAAAGAATACAAAAACAACAAGGGTTGAGATAAGACGACGAAGAACTCGTCGGCGGAAGGGCGAAAAAGAGTGGAGTTACGGGGACTACGAGTGTAAAACATGTGACGAAAGCAGTCGGCTGGATTCGAGTTTAACAACATTTAACTGTTGTTTACACTCTTGATTGCCCTATTCCGTTCTAACTAGTGCAGAAAAAATTCTTATGTACACAGGTATTATGCGGATTTTGCAATAATATTGCACTCAGTTTCGAGAACGGAATAATCTGAATTTCTTTATTTAAGATCTAAGATTTCTGTAAGTAAATAAATGCAGTTTTTTAACCAAATATAAAAATAAGGTGATTTAATTTAGGTTAATTTTTTCCTTGACTCTGTCTACAGAAGATAAACATTATTTATAGAATCCCTTATAGTTGCATTTAAAGTAATATCTATAGTTTCTACGACCACTGCAACTACATGGTCTTCATAAAATTTAATGGCAAACGTGTTTTTGCATACGATTCCGAAATAATTTGTCGCCTGCCTTAAATGCGAAATCCGCGTGAAAATTAAACAGGCTTACCTCGGATCCGGGCGCTAAAAAAAGGCCGTCAGCCATTCAAGTCCAATTGCAAGGCGTTTTCCGTTTTTGTTAGTTTTATACTTTTTTCGCCAAGTTGCTTTCAATCAAATCGAATCGGAACGCGCAAAAGGCACGACTGCAAATTGTAAAAAATTGTATTCATTATAGACATTGACTTGGCGCACACTTTCACGGCACAATTAATTGGCTAGATTTTTCCCCATTTCCCCATCTTGGCCACTTCATCATCCTCTTCTGGGCAAACAGCTGGCCAACTTGTTTGCACACATTTCGCACAGTGGAGTGGCCAGCAGGCGGGCGCAAAAAACTTTCGCTCAAAACGGATGCAGCCAGAAAAAAAAGATAAGTGGGTGGGGGGAGTTAGGAACTGGTTTCTTGTAACAGGAATTCTTTTTTGTTTTGCTATTTTTTTCCTTTTTTAATTTTCCATCAATTTGCACACTTCCGCTCGGTTGTGTTTGCGATTTTTATTTTATTTTATTTATATTTTTTGTATTTGTTTTTCCCATTGGCCTTCTGGCGCCCGACTTATTTACGAGTTGTTCTAATTTATTTTGTTGGCCCACAAACAAATATTTTTATTTATCTCGCTCCGCACTTTCTTTCGGCGTTTTTATGGCCCAAAAAGCGATCCGCTTTTTCCGCTTCTCTTTCGCTATTTATAACAGAACGCACGCACACACACACTCCGGCGCAACCAGGTGAAAATTAGTGCAGAAATCTCCGCCAATCGTACAAATAATTTCGCTTAAATTAATTACTTTGTTTAACTAGTTTCAGGTGTGCACGATTTCGAAAACGTACACAAATCGAAGAGCCCGTCCTCTCACGTGTTTACCGCAACAAAATTTACTTAAATATTTTCAATATCAAGAACTCGATTTTTTACCCAAAACAAACAATTACTTTTTTGTTGATATCTTCGATATTGTTGATATCCCGACCGTCTTCGGAATGACCGTTCTTCTCGCGTGCGCACTAGAAATGCACAATATTCGATGGTACAATCGATAATAACGCCGGTTTGGGCTGCGGTGGCGCCAACCCGAACACAACAGAATCTGTTTGGCAAGATCGGTTCGAGACAATGCTAAAACAGAACACCCACGGTTCGAGTCAAAATTATATTTGGGGTATTCCCTAAACTGTTAAATTTTCGTATTAATTAATTTTGGTCAACTGTTTATAAGCTTGTCCATAAAATTGCAATTTTCAGAAAATTCATTACTTACCTTAAATTTAAATTACCATTTTTGTATAAAAATATTATATTGTTCTTCTTGAAGGTTTCGTAAAGTTCTACAAATAATTATAGTTACAGGAAATGATTATTTAAATAATAAAACAAGTTCTCGAGATATGAAGTCATCAAAGCTACTGGAGCCATCTAGCGGCTGCACACTGGGCCAGAAAGTTAATTTTTTGGCCAAAAATCTGTAATTTCTTTCCTAGGACAGTTAGAAGGATGCAGTTTTTTGCGTTTTTTTCTTAAAAGATTGAACTTTCCAACGAACTAAAAGTAAAATTTCTTGAAATTTTATATGATATAGATAATCCAGACCAAAGTCGGAAAATTTTACGTACTTTTCGGTTTTTTATTTTTAAAAAAATAACTAGAAGACGCACTTCTTCCATTTTCGAAAACAATAAAGCATGAGATAAAACAAACTAAAAAAAATTAACATCACTAAAAAATATTATGTCGTTTAAGATTTGTGAACCGTTAAAAACTGCAACTTTCGGAGACTCCCACATCAACGTTTATCAAACAATCGATTTAAAAAAATTTTCTATTTTTTTTTCTTGTTATTTCTTAAGTTTTATATAATCAAATTATTAAAAAAAATGGTTTTAAAAAAAATTGTTTTTTAAATTGTTTAATGTTAATTTGACATATTCTGAAGTCATCACAAAAGTATGCTACATTTATATTTGCATAGTCCTATTTAAATAGATAGATATAGATTTCGAAAATACCATAATCGATTAGTGTACGTAAAAAGTAGATTTTAGATGTTAGTCACACTAAAATCAAATTTTTTCGCGCAAAATGTTCACTAAAACCTGAAGAAAAAAAGTACGGCATACTTTTGGGCTCTCTTAGCTAAGCTCTTCAAAATAGCTTGACTTTGAGTTAAGCCTTCAATTAAAACTTAAATTACCGAAAACTAAGGCAAAACCGCATCAAGTCGGTGGGCTACGCTTTTAGTAAATTGATCAACGAATTTTTTTTTGAAGAAATAAACTAATTTGTGGATGGCACTCAAAGGCACTTGAAAAGCAAAGTACTCATTTGCTAAAAAAAAGCCGTAAGAATCAACAAATACATTTGTTTTAGGAAACAAGTAAGACATACGACCTATATTATATTTTTTATTGGTTGAAAGTAATCACATCTACAAGTTTTGTGAAGAGTCGAACAGCTACATCCGCGTCTTTAACTTCAAGATTTTTTTTCATTTCCATCAATATTTGATGAATTTTCCACTTTGAAAATATGGTAAAAGAAACCTACTTGCCCGAATTCTTTGAAACTTTGGCATAAATTAGTTTAATGTATTATAAAACGGAATCCAAACTCAATTTGGTCATTTTCTTAAAAAAGAAAAACGTATTTTTGGCCAAAAATCTGATCGGCTGGCCAAGTGTGGGCTGTTGAAATTTTTGCTCATAACTTTTTAATGAATGGTAACAGGTATAAAAATTATAAGTTTTCTTAAATCAATTTTTATAAAAGACAAATTTTGAAGAAATCAAATGATTTGGACACCTACTATTTACCGGATACATGATTTCATTTAAAACATTTTGTAAAGTTTATAGGAATAAGTATCCATTTATTAAACTAAATATGGCATCGAAAGATTTTTATTATGTTCCCTAAACAAAACAATGAGAATGAATTAAGTTAATGAATGACAGAAACACGCAGCTTACTCAACTATTTGGCAAATTTTCACTAAGAACATACAAGATACGAATACAAAATATATAAACGGTGGGTTTACATTGCGGTTAAAAATCGAGTCTTCCTCTCTGTAGCCTGGGAAAAGGAGTTATTGCATTAAATAGCCTACGAAACTAGGGCCTACGAATGGCAGCTCGGGTCAAGATCGGGTGGATGGTGTGGAGCAGCAGGCCATGGACACATCCAAGGGCAGATCCTGGGAGCAGGCGAAGGTCGAAGTGCTGGAGGTCTCGTTGAAGCCGCTGTCCGTGCGATAGAGCGGAATCCTGTTTCCCTGCGGAGGCACTACAACTACTGGTGGCTCGGCCAGCTGGTTGGCAGCTGGAGCCCGTTCCTGGTCATCTTCCTCCTCCAAATTGGCACTGAAAGACTGCGAGAGATTCTTGCGTTGGGCGGAACGATGTCGCTTATGTCCGCGAGGAGTATCCGAATTGGAGGAGCTGCAGTTGAAGCTCAGCGTGGACAGTTGCATGGCCTCGGCCTCCTCCTCCTCCTCCTCGTCGTCCGCGGATTCCACCTCCTCTTCCTCCTCCTCTTCGGTTTCCTCGAACAGCGGCTGATCCCCGGCCTCTAAAATCACCTGTCGCGTGCTGTTCACACGCAAACGTCTAACCCTTTGATTGATGCTGCAATCCGAGTGCTCCAGTGCGCCCATGGGCGAGGAACTCCGGTCGGGGGTGAATTTCAAGGCTGTGCGCTCGGACAAAGTGTCCTGCTGCTCCGTGACGCTGACCTCCACCTTGGAGTACACCAATTTGCGACTCAGATGCTCCGAGGGAGCTATGGGCGATGGCAGTTCCTGCAGTTCCTGCATCAGTAGCTTCCGCTTGCCCGAGCAATTGCCATCGTCTGGGGTTCCGGGCGGCAAACCGCAGAGGTTTCTAATGGGCGACAGGCAGCCGAAGCTTCCCTCGCCGGACGCGGAATCTGAGAGTCTGCCGGCAAACATGGTTTGCTTGCCCTGCGGACTGGAGCCCACCATGGGCGACGACTGCTCGGCGGGATCCTGTTCGCCCAGGACAATGACATTGTGCAGGTCAAAGAGTTTCCTGCGCATGGAACTATTAAAGATGTCGTGGCCGCCGCTCGATTTGCTCCTGCCCGAGAGGCGGCCGGCTAGATGTGGCTGGAAGTACGGACGCAGGGCATCCTCCAGGGCTTTCGGCAATACTGGTGGCAGTGTTAGCTCCGTTTGCACCTCGCAGTCCCGCCTCCTGCGCGACTTATTCGATATCGGGGTGTTATCCTCGCTGCGGTTGAGTATGATGCGCTGTTTGCGCAGCGGACAGTCCACGGGACTCGGCACAATGTGCGACTCCTTGAAGAAGGCACTGATGGCCAGCTGGGCCTTGGATTCCTGCTCGGGATCCGGGGAGTCGTGGAACTGCGTCTCGTGGGGCTCCACATCGGCGGGCTTGAGTTGCGAGACCTCGTCAATGTTCCACTCGAACTGGGTGGACGAAAGCTGAGGAGTTCGCGAGCGGAAAAGCGAAGGACTGCAGGGGGAAAATCGTAAGGTAAGGGGATTATTTCACCAGGAAAAACTCAGCAAAACTCACCTCGCAATCAGCGGCAGGTGCAGGCGATCGGCCATCGCTCCCTCGAAGGGATTCCGCACCTTGTGCAGCCTCTTCGGGGGCGGGGTGCACACATTTCCCGACATCTGGGGACTGCATTTTCCGTTTTCCTTGCCGCCATTCGTTGGCGTCGCCAACGCCGTCGCATTGTTGCTGTTTGACTGGCTATTTCTGCGCGCCCGGCCCTTCAGCCCGCTGAGATTCGTAAAGTACCGATTCTTGAGGGCTTGCGGCGTTCGCACCTCGTCGTTGTGCATCGTTAGCCAGTCGCAAATTCGCCTAAAATTAAATTAAATTAATTGCGGCAAGCGCCTGCTGCGATTCGATATCAGTATTTTCAAATGCAGCAGTGTTGGCTAACGGTGCAGCGCGCCTCGAATGCCAGGTGTGTGTCGCCGCTAGGCAAGGTATAATCGACCGATTGCCGCGCGGTCACACTGCCAGCTGTCTGCCACCAACACATACACCTCGGCTGGACGCGCGTGTGTGTGTGTGTGCTGTGCGAAACAGAAACAAGAATCAAGAAAAGCAAGCGAAAAATCACAGAAATCCAAAAACTTCGCCAGCTGCAGTATTAGCCCGCCGGGCGAGGAACCGCAAAAGTGGCCAAAATTCGACGAAAACAGCGCAAGTGTGACAAAGCATTCGTGCCACTGCAGGCGTCGGCGAAACGGGCGAAAACAAAAGAGAATAGTGTTGATAGTAATACGAGCGTATTCAGCAGCAGCGGCAGCAGCAGCAGTAGCCAGAGCAGCGGCGGGCGAACGGAACGGTGGGCGGTGGGTGCGGAAACGGGCCGGGGAACGGCCGAGAACGAAACACCAGCAGCAGCAACAACAACAGCGCCCAAGTCGAATGCCGGTCGCTTCATCGCCGCTGATCTAATCAAAACAGTTAAGAGCAACAAAGAGCGAAGGGGCCAGGCCGAAAACCCCCTAGATGCCAATGCCTCGAAACATCTGCGCTTATCCGACTGCTTGCGTACCGTGCAAAAACTTGCTATTGAACTTGAGAGCGTCGACGTCGGCAGCGACGCCAGCGCCAAAGCCAACGCCAGCAGCGCTGTCATGTCCGAGACGGGCTGCCGGCATTATCAGAGCTACGTGAAGGAGCACAGCTACGATACATTCCGGGTCATCGACGCCTACTTCGCTGCCTGCGTCAACAGAGATGCGCGCGAGAGGAAGGTGAGTGCGAGTGTGCGAATGTGCGAATGCCGTGCGATGGGGAGAGGCGAGAAAGAGAGAAGTGCCGCGGAGGTGAGGCAGTGCGAAAGGGAGAGTGCAATCAGAGATGAGCCCTCATTTGCATAACCGTGAATCGGTCACGGGAAAGGTCGCAGTCACTGTAGCTGAATGATGGATAACGTGATGTTCCCACGGGGCAATGCAGGGATATGCGATGCAATATGTGATACATTTAAAAGCTGTTACGACAGATCCTACTGTTGTAGGGGTAGAGCTGGAAAAAGGCAACAATATATTTTAAAATATTACTATTTAAATAGTTTGCAACTCCAGGAATTAGTCAATGGTATTTTAATAAAATATTTAAAAAAAGATAGATAATAAAATAAGTCATTAAAAAAAAACATTTTAAATTAAAAAAATACACGCGGGTTGCCAAATAAAAAATTATCCTAATGTTACTTAATTTTCAGAACATTTTTAAAATCCATTAAACTTAACTAAATTTCTTTTCATTACTCATAAATAAAAAATGTTATTTTCACACTGCGTAAAGAATTGATTAAAAAATGTTTTTAAAAGTTAAGCCCCGACTAAAAAATAAAGGGCATGAGAAAAAAAACGACAAATACGAATCAAATCCTTTAATTTTTTTTTTAAATGACCCCAAACTGAATTTTAAGTTGTTTGATTGAGCCATGTATGGGACACTCTTTGGAAAACGGTTAACCCAAAACTGATTTTTGATGACATACTTTTCGTTATATTTATTTTTTGGCCGCAAATCTTTCAACTTTTGATCAAGTGATTAGTTTTTTATGAAAAATTTTAAGGAAAACTTACAAAAAATCGAATTCTTTCTCAAAATATGGCCCTTTAATTAAAAAAACTTTAAATTATCTTTATTGTATTAACTAACCACTCTGGAAAGGAAATTCTTGGACAGCCATATTTGTAAAGGTTATTGGAAAAATCCATTAAAAGAAAACTTCGGTTAAATCATCAAATATCCCACATTTTAAAATAAAAATAATCATTTTCATTTAAACAAAAATATTCAAGATGTTATCTGCAAGGGTATATAAACTCTGGCATGCCTTCTGGTTTTTAAACAATATTTTAGTATTTTAAAGCAGATGATTTTCAGTTTTGAGAAAAAGAATAGAATGGAGTTTGAATCGTCCGAACTACGCATAGTTAACCCCCCATTATCTCCGATAGGCGATCCACTGCAACTGCTTCGAATGCGGCAGCTACGGCATTCAGTTGTACGCGTGCCTGCACTGCATATACTTTGGATGTCGAGGAGCCCACATCACGAGCCACCTGCGATCGAAGAAGCACAACGTGGCTCTGGAGCTGTCCCACGGAACGCTCTACTGCTACGCTTGCAGGGATTTCATCTACGACGCGAGGAGCAGGGAATATGCGCTGATCAATCGCAAGCTGGAGGCCAAGGATCTGCAGAAGAGCATCGGTTGGCTGCCGTGGGTTCCGACGGCCAAGGAAACCAATCTGCTGTTGGCCAACGCAAGGCGGAGATTGGTGAGGCCCAATCAAACGATCGGACTTAGAGGACTGCTTAATCTGGGTGCCACCTGCTTTATGAACTGCATTGTGCAGGTGGGTTAAGTCGAAGAATCTAGCGAATTTATCAAATTAACTTTTATACCCTTCAGGCTCTGGTTCATACTCCCCTGCTAAGCGACTACTTTATGTCAGATCGCCACGACTGTGGCAGCAAGTCCTCCCACAAATGTCTCGTCTGCGAAGTGTCGCGTCTCTTCCAGGTGAAATATTCCTACTTATTTATAAAATATTTTGTTCAATAAGGAGTTTCGTTTTAAGCTGACCAAAAATAAACATTTTGGGGGTTTCAGAGGGTATTGGAAATATAAATTCGTTGTATCAACGCAAGTTAGATAATTTCATAGGTCCCTTAAAGACGAAATATGGCTGAATGTCATTTTGGATTGTAAAAACTAATTAAATTATTATTATTATGAAATAAAATCATATTTAAACCGATATATCATTTTCGTTTAAGAGATACAAAGTTTTTTTTTTGTATTTATGCATTTATTTATTTATACATTTATTAGTGTTGACATAATAATAATAATATCATAAACAAATATTTAAGAGTACAGAAAATCAGCTAAAATAATGATGTAGAGTTAAGCTACTCTTAAAAAACCTTTATTTGTTTTTTTATTATCGAGGTTTCAAAAATGTTTTCCTCTTTTGTAGGAGTTCTATTCGGGCTCCCGTTCACCGCTGTCGTTGCACCGGTTACTGCATTTAATCTGGAACCATGCGAAGCACTTGGCAGGCTACGAGCAGCAGGATGCACATGAGTTCTTTATCGCCACTCTGGATGTGCTGCATCGGCATTGTGTAAAGGCAAAATCGGAGCACGAGAGTAAGAGCAATAGCTCTGGTTCCGGAAGTGGCACCAATTCCAGCAGTTCGAGCAGCTCGCATTGCTATGGCCAGTGTAATTGCATCATCGATCAGATCTTCACTGGAATGCTGCAGAGCGACGTTGTGTGCCAAGCCTGCAACGGAGTGTCAACCACCTATGATCCCTTTTGGGATATTTCTCTGGATTTAGGGGAAACGACAACGCACGGAGGAGTGACTCCCAAAACCCTAATCGACTGCCTGGAGCGGTATACTCGCGCTGAGCATCTCGGATCAGCTGCTAAAATTAAGTGCTCCACCTGCAAATCGTACCAGGAGTCCACTAAACAATTCAGCTTGCGGACTTTGCCCAGCGTAGTATCCTTCCACCTGAAACGCTTCGAGCACTCCGCTTTGATCGATCGCAAGATTTCCTCGTTCATTCAATTTCCGGTGGAATTCGATATGACGCCCTTTATGTCGGAGAAGAAGAACGCCTATGGCGACTTCCGGTTCTCTTTGTACGCCGTGGTCAATCATGTGGGCACGATCGACACCGGACACTATACGGCGTATGTCCGTCACCAGAAGGATACGTGGGTCAAGTGCGATGATCATGTGATAACGATGGCATCGCTCAAGCAGGTGCTGGACAGCGAGGGGTAAGGCTTACCAATATTTCTTTTATTTTACCTTTCATATCTTTTTTCAAACATATACTCAGTATTCATTAATTTCAAATTTAGTTCTCGTTTAAAAAAAATTTTTTATTTTTTTGTTTTCTAATCCAAGGTATTTTAAAAAATAAATAAATTTTACCTTTCATATCTTTTTTCAAACATATATTCAGTATTCATTATTTTCAAATTTAGTTCTCGTTTAAAAAAAATTTTTTATTTTTTTGTTTTCTAATCCAAGGTATTTTAAAAAATAGTTGTTCTACTTGTTTAATATTATATAATTTATATTCGAATCAAAAAATGCATAAGCTTAATAAAGTTCCTATCATTACTACTTATTACATTATTCAAATTTATCCATTTCTTTTAAAACATTTTATTTTCCTACTTCTTTCAGTTATTTATTGTTCTACCATAAAAACGTGCTGGAATACGAATAAAAAAATCAGTTGGGATTCATTAAAGCGACCGTTTTCCCCAGAAGGACACACAAGCGGAATCCCATGCAACACGAATAAACACACAAAAAACAGACAAGGCCGCGGCAGCGTTTACGAATTAAGTAATGTTACCACAAACAAATATAAATCCTATACTGGGTGTTCCCTCGACTGAGGTTATTTAAGCTAACATACTCAAAACATTGAAACAATAGAGAACGAAAAAGAAATTATTGAAAATTGTAATCTATAAACTCAACTTGTGGGGATACCCGTTTGGTTCTAAGTATTTCAAATCCATAATACTAAAAACAAAACAAAAATAATATCAACTAATCACTTGGCTTATACATTTCTAAACATCAAAAATTAAACCAGGGATATGAAAGAAGCTCAAAACAATCATAGTATTGCAGATGATCTATAGTTTTGTTCCTCTTCTTTTTGATTACTAAAGAGAAGTTTTTATTTCTTATTACATTTCGTTTTTGGGTTTGTCTATAATTTTATGACACATGACACTATAGCCAAACATGGCATCAAGGATTATTTATATATTTGGGGTCCTTGAGGAGACTGTAATTGTATGGTTACGAAATATTTATTAGAAACTCCTTAATCCCCAATGTATTTAGCTTATAGT